TCCCTGGGTCCTGAGGCTCTGCCGACCTGGATGGGACCTGGGTCTCGGGTCCCAGCGGTGCCTGCGGGAGACGGGCTGGCTTTCCTCCGCTGCCGCCCCTCCCCTCTGCTGCCCAAGGTGTGCGATCCCTCTCACCTTCGGTCCCCCAAGTGTCTCTTCTGCGTCCGCAGACCGGGCATATTTGAGGGAATTCCGGGGAACTGGGTCCCGTGGCAAGGATGACTAGTTTCTGTTCCTTTCTGGTGGGGATAGACCGTCCCCAGTCCAGGGGAAACTTTGATCCCTGCTCCAGTCCAGCAGCTGCTTCATGTCATCTTCTGATTTATTAGCTAATGACATTTTTCAAAAAAGGTTTACGCTTTGAAAGTTGCCATTTCCTAGGTCCCCCCCCCTTTTAAATGTAGCCCAGTATATGCTAAATAACATTTTTGCGAATGTTACGAATGCGGGTTGGAATTTGACGAGGTTTTTAGTCTTCGGATAGGAAGGTGCCCATCGGGGTAGATTTTCAGGTGGCTTCAGTGTGGTGGCCAGTCCTTCGACAGGAGGAAGCAGGTGGCCAGGAATGGTGGTGGTCAGTATCCACGCACTTCGCCAGATTGGTTTGTTTTGATGGTGATCCTCGTTGTGCATGTGGAAAAGTCGTTAATGAGTATGTTGCCATGTTAACTGCCTCCTCCTGCCCTGGGTTGTTAAGGGTTTTCAAGGAAAGGCTGTCTTAGATCTGGCAACAAACCGAAAAAAAGGTTTGTAGGGGCAACGATAAAATACTGAGAGCTGCTCTCCACTTGGACAGTGTCTTGGTTTAGAATTTTGTTTTTAACTCAGGCAGTGTGCCACTACTAACATGAGATTGTGACTTTGGAGGATTGGTCGTTGGACCTGTGGGAGAAGTTGCCTCAGACAACTTCATGGGCGGGCGTGTAGTTGTTGGGGTGTGCGAAGTTGACACACCAGTGTAATAGAATAAGTCAGCCATCCAACCCTCATTGCACCGAATTTAAGATACTTTAATCAGAAAATAAACATCGGGCTAGAATACATTGTATGTGTGGGTAAATACATGTGTATCTTATCTTTTCATAATTAGTAGCAGGGCTTTTTAATAATAAGTGAGTTATATATTATATGTAAACAATTTTGTACACATGTGAAAAAATTTCTCTGATTCTCTAAGTTATGTTGGTGTGTAGTGTTATGTAAGAGCATTAATACTTGAACAACCTGTGGGGTAATCAATTTATGAAGTAGGAAGTTTTGGAATTTTTTCTAATGCTTCTGATTGCCTGTTTCTTAAAAAATACATATTTTTATTGATTTCAGAGAGGTAGGGAGAGGAGAGAGAGAGATAGAAACATCAATGATGAGAATCACAACCTGGGCATGTGCTCTTGACCGGAATGGAACCTGGGACCCTTCAGTCCGCAGGTGGACACTCTATTCACTGACAAAACCGTCTAGGGCTGATTGCCAGTTTTTTGCCCATTTTAAACACATCTGCCATATCATGGACAGAAGAAAGGAGATGAAGTCCCTTTCTAGCCAATTTTATTATTTACTAAATTGCTTTAAGTTATAGTGGGAACAGAAAACAGAAGTTGCTCTAAAATAACTGACATCATTTTTTGGTGTCATTATTTTATTTAGTTTTCATAGCAATTTTGTGAAGTAGGTTTAGTAAATATCATCCTTATTTTGCAGTTGTGGAAATTGACACACAATGAGATTCATTTATTTATTCGAATGCTGCTCTTATTTCTGCAGATGATCTAGAATTAGTTTTATTTTTACATTATTTCTTATTGCGGTATGACTGACATATAACATAATTCAGGTATACAATATAATGATTCAATACTTGCACATGTTGAGAAATGATCACAGTAAGTCTAACATTCTAGAATTAGTTTTATTTTAATTGAATATTAATATAGACATTTTTGGCATTTGGTTTTTTTAAATCTAAAAATATGTATTTTCCTTTTGGCATGCCACTCGCTCCTTATGCTGATGATTGTCAATTCTTTAAGAACATTAATATTTTTATAGCATTTTGTTAATTGTTAACAAGTCATGAATTCTGATAATGTATTGCTTTACTTCTATATGTACTTTTTGCTTAAACAATGTTCCTAAAAGAAATTGTAGTTAATTTGTTGTCTCTCATTTTGTTTGGATACTCATAGTTCAATCATCTTTGGTACTTCAAATCATTTATATTCTTGGTTTAGTAAAATAAATATTGAAGCAACATGGTCAGTAGCTTAACTGAAAACTAGTAACATCTTGATTTTGTTGTAGAGACAACTGATGATTTAAAAAGTTAACTGGCCATCTATGCCTGTGATGGCTATTTTTGCAGTGTGGGGCAAGTTGTGAAATAATTCTTTTCTTTTAAAGATCTAAATGGCATTACTAAGCAATTCACGAATTGGGGCAGCATCCTATCTAGGAACTAAAGGGCACTCCCAAAAGAATTACCTTTTGACTTTTTACCCCATATCAATTTCTAGTGTTGCAAATAATACCCCCCCCCCAAAAAAAAAATTGAATAATCAAATGATTATTTATTTTACTTGGCTAGGGCCAAGCACATAGTAAAATAGTAAATATTGGTTGAATAAATTGACTAAAGAATGGTCTTGACATAATATTTAAAAGCCAAAAACCAAAACCACATTAGTTCATGGTTCCTAAGCACACCTCAGTTCCTAGGAATATACTCCAGAGGCATATACAAGTTTGCTAGGTAGAAGGGGAATAACAGCCTGGGATTAAAAAGACACCAAGAATAAGCCACAGGTGGGTCCTGAAAACTTTATTGACCATTTTAATGATTTAGCTGTTCTGGCAATAGTTAATGTAACTTAAAGAATATAGATGCTTTAAGACCCTACCTGTTACACTAGTACTGTAATTATAGGTTTATAATGACTTTAAGTCACTTCTTAATTACAGCATTGGGAGTTTTAAATCTTAAAGTCCAGCTAGTCCAATTCCCTTGTACATAGTAAACTACATTTGTTCAATGTGTTAGATAATTATCAAATGAGAGGATAATTATGAACAACCAGGTAATCCTACATCAGTGTTAAAAACTCAAAACAGGTCTCTCATTTTAGGAATCAAAAGTACTTGCTAACTTAAAATATGAATCTCAACCCTCTGCATTGGGACTATAAACTGGTACAACTGGGACAATGTTTTGGAAGGACATTTGGTATTACCTATTAAAATTATAATTAAAAGTGCACTTTTTTGTTTGTTTGTTTTGTTAATTTTCACCAGAGGAATCTTTTCCATTTGTTTGTTTGTTTTGTTTTTTTAGAGGGAGTGGAAGGAAAGGGGAGAGACAGAGAGAAAAACATCAATGTGAGAGAGACACATTGATTGGTTGCCTCCCACATGTGCCCCAACCAGGGGTTTGCATGGAGCTTGCAACTAAGGTATGTGCCCTTGACTGGAATTGAACCTGAGACACTCTATTCTGAGGTTTGCCGCTCTAATCACTGAGACAGACTGGCTAGGGCAAAAGTCATTTCATTTTTAGGAGTTTATCTTACAGAAATTTTAATACAAGAGCACAAGAGCAAATCTATAAGGATTTTCATTTTAGCATTATTACAAATAAACGTCATTAATATTTACAAATAATAAGAAAGTGCCCCCCCCCCAAAAAAAAAAGAAAAAAAGAAAGTGTCCTAAATGTCCTTTGGTAGGGGGTTAGTTAATATTATAGTTTATTTATGATGTGAGGTACTGTGCACTTGTTAACAGTTTAAGGGATAGTTATATTTACTCCTGAGGAACAGCTGAATGTATCCTGGAGCATAGGGACCATGTAGCAGACTTTCTGGGTTCAAATCCTAACTGCATCATTTATTAGCAGTGACCATTAGCAAGTTACTTAACATCATCTATAAAGGGGATATAATTATAGTTCTCTCCTGCAGGTCTGTTTTGAGAATTAAATAAGTTAATATTTAAACCCTAAGTAAGCATAGTAATTGCCACATAAGTGTTTGCATTTACTATTACATACTGACATGGAAGAATGTTCATTATATAATATTGAGGGGAAAAATTAAGTTGCACTACACTGTGGAATATGATTCAATTTTGTGAAAACACACACACACATAGACAAAGAAATGTAGTTTGATTTTTTTTTTACTTGTCCTATATACTAGTAATAAAGAGCTAATATGCTAATTAGACGGAACAGCAGAACAACCTGCCTTGGTCGGTGCTGCAAGGGCCGAGTCCCTTGCATGAATTTCCTGCATTGGGCCTCTAGTATGTACATAAGAAAGGGTCTGTGAGGATAGACATTAAGCTATTAGCTTTGTTATCTCTGAAGAATGGATGACTTTCTTATACTTTAGACACTTTTTAAAAATATATATTTTTATTGATTTCAGAGAAGAAGGGAGAGGGAGAGAGAGAAACATCAATGATGAGAGAATCATTGATCGGCTGCCTCCTGCACACCTCCTACTGGGGATTAAGCCCAAAACCCAGGCATGTGCCCTTGATCAGAATCGAACCCATGACCCTTTAGTCCCGAGGCTGATGCTCTCTCCACTGAACCAAACCAGCTAGGGCACTGTATGTCCCTATGCATTCATTGGTTGATTCTTGTATGTACCTTGATGGGAATCGAACCTACAATATTGGTGTATTGAGACGACACTCTAACCAACTGAGCTACCTGGTCAGGGCCCCACTTTTATAATTATTGAAACCTTTTTTTTAAAAAAGAAAGTATTGAAGAATAATTTTTTTTTATTATTCAGTCATGTAAATGTATTTTTGAATATAGTTGTTTTCCAGAGATCTACAGATTTCATTAGCAGAATATCACATGATTAGATTGTTTCTAAACTTTTGTTGCTGGAAGGCTAAAATTAATCTATGAAAACCCCTAATATATTTATTTTTCTATTAGCTTTGTGAGGTAAACCTCATTTATGAATTTACAAAGTAACCATGTAGGCTAGATCAGTAATTTTTAAACCCAAGATTCCCATACTGTGCCCCAAGTTACCTTGGAGCACCATAGTGAACTCACATGGGCACTGGGGCATTTTTAAAGTTTTGAGGAAAGCACAGTAATATTTGGCAGCTGTGGGACACTGCTCAAACGTTTGGTTTAAGGTAATACTCATGAGATTGTGCTAGGTTTTGGGGGATTGCTCTGATAAAAAGCAAGTACTGTGCAAAAATCATTGTGAAACTAAATGAAAGTGGTGGTGTCCAAAGTGATTTCAAGGTTTGAGAATCTGTAATGTCTATTAGATGCACATATTGCATTAATAAGTAATTGTTATTAGTAAAAAAATAAAGTATTTCAGTTTATATGTATTTTTCAAAGTTATTCTGACATAAATACTAAGTTGTGAGGACTTAGTTAATAAATAGAATTGTTAGGTATTTTTTGGGCTTAGGGGCACCATGAAAAGATTACTGAGACACTAGAGTTCTGTGAACTTAGAAAGCTTGGAACCTCTAGAACTCTTTTGACTCACTGTAAGAGGCAGTCATTGGCATGGATAAGGTCACCAAGAGAGAGAGTATAGTGTTAGATAAGACCCAAAAGTCAAACTCCTTTGAACTTTAAGATTTAAAGGAGAAGGACTAACTAGCAAAGGAGAATGAGAAAGAGAACTGGAGGTGGGAAATCCCAGTGTAGTGTATAGAAGCAAAGAGAAGAGTGATTCAAGAGAGTGGTCAGCTGTGATGAATGCTGCCAAGATGTCAGGCAGATTGGGACTTTTTATTTGAAAATGTCCATTAGATTTAGAGATGAAGAGGTTTTTGGTGATTTTAGTGAGAGGTGCTGTGGCAACCACATTGGAATTGCTTGAAAAGTGATTGAAAAGTATTTTAAATGGAGACTGAATATATAGTCTTTTTTGAGATATTTGAAGGAAAAAGAGCAGTAGTAGTGTAGGGTGCTGGGTTGAGGGACTTTTTTTGTTTGTTTTAAGTAAGAAGACTTGATTTAAGTATAAATGCTGATAGGAGGAATCTTGGAGAGGGGAGAAGACAGAGAGATACACGAGAGAACAATAAAATGCCTCGTTTCTTGAGAGAATGTGGAGGTGGGGAGATCTTGAAACAGAAGAAGTATTCTTATGGCTCCTTGCCTCTAAAAGTTACTTTTTCTGTTCTTTTCCCATTCTCCCTATTTATGAACTCTCAGCCTGCATGCTAAGAGGGACAGTAAAATTCTTTTAAATTTATTGGCTATTAGTTTCTGTGAACCTTTATACTTATGAGGTGAATATTTTGATGGTACTTGAAGTGTGTACTCTTTGTTGGCTTTAGATTGCTATAAGC